GACTTCCTCATTCTCACCTCTTGCTTCCCCAGCATGGCCAACACCCTCCACCTGCAGCACTGGCACTCGAGGAGCAAAATTCCATCGTTAAGTCACTGCAGAAATGGCACGTGCAGCAGCGAGGGATGAGTCACAGCAGCGAGGGATGAGCCTCAGCAGGGCATGCGACGCAGGGGATTCCAACTGATAGAAAAAATCTACAGTTCAAAGAAAAAAAAAGATGCATCTTTCAAAAGAAGATAAAATTGTCACCTCTTTGGAATGATGATGGGCGAATTCAAACAAGTTCAGTGTGTGTAAGTGCTCCCCAGGGCCTCTCCCACAGCGGCTGCAGGGCTCAGCCCACCACCAGCCTCTAGCAAAAGGCAAATCTGCAGGCAGGAGAGTGAATTGACCTGTCTTAATACTGGATGGAGAGCCAAGAGTGGCTGGAGTCTGTTCCAACAAGCAAGATGACGAGTCTGCACTGATTGTGTCCCCTCTGCACACCTTGAAAAATCCCCTTTCGGTTTCTCCCCGGCAATCTGCGCTTGCGACGTCAGAGCCTGAGCGGGGGGTGTGTGACCTCACCAGAAAAAACTCCTGCTGAGCCCTGCAGCTCACTAAATCACTCACCTCACCCCATTCCAGCACAGCCCCTATTCTCCCCGTGTTAAAGCAGAACGTGAAACTCGCCACGAGCAAGTCGGCTCCTGCCAAGGGCAGCTCCGTGGGTTTGAGGAGCTGCTGCCACCCTGAGTCATCACCACACCTGGCTGCAGCGAGAGGCACCCGAGTCAGCCCGTGGCACTAGTGGATGGAACTAGTTTAAAATAAACTCATGGTTTTGTGGGGGTTTTTTTGTAGTTAACAGGACAGGGAGATAGAGAAGCCCGGTTCAGAGAACAGTGTGGGGTTGGGCTTTTTATGTAATGCTTGTAGTATTTGGGGAAATTATTCTTCTGTGTTCTAAACATCTGAGTCATCCCAGGAAGGGAGCTACATCCACATTTAAATGTTACCGTGGACTTGTCCCTGGTCACAGCTCATAAGGAAAAGTCATTTAAATTACCGGGAAGAAGCTCACGCTACCGACTCTTCCTCTTCTCTCTCCAGGCTTTGGAAACTTCAGTGAAAACCAAAAGGGGATTTTATCCTTTTGAAGTTATTTCACCTTTTTAACTAATTAAGCTGATGACTAATCTGAGGTTGGTCTGTGACCTCCTGCCTTGGTGTCAACACGAGGTGGTGGGAGTGGAGCTGGGGTCAGCCCCACGCGATGCTCACGCCGGCTTTTCCAGCAAAGACCATTTCCTGGAAGCTGAGCAGGACTCGTGCTGGGGTGTTGGGACACTGTTAGAAAGGTCAATATTTACCAGAAAGATCCCCTGCTGTCACTTTATCTGCCAACCCACGTGAGGAGAAACTTTGCTGGGCAGAAATTCCAATGAAGGGACCTGAGGCAGGGGGAGACCATGGACTGAGGCAGCAGGAGACCCAGGGAGAGCTCCAGCACTGCCAAAAACCTGCCTGCAAACGGCACTGCTGCCAAAACACTGCCAGCCTGGAAAGCTCCCGAGGGGATGCTCCAACTTGCCTGCGCTGGGTTGTAACAGCCCAACACACACCGAGCCACTGCCAGGTCAAAACCATCTCGGCAGAGCAAGATCGACAGCACGTGGGTGCTCATGAGATGTCCTTGAAGAATAAGTCACGCCTGTGGCACTGATCTTGGGAGCTGCCAGATGGCACATGGCATCACCTGCCTTCCCCAGACCCTCCATCCTGGTTGCACTGGTCGAGGGCTGGGGGAGCCTGGTAGCACAGAGCTCATCTGATGCAGGCTGGACCATCCCCAGTTATTCAGTTGTCCTCTCCATCTCCTGTGAGCTGAGGTCCACAGCCCCACTGGGATCTGGCAGGGCACAGGGGTGACAGACACCCATCATCTCCCTTCCCTGGGGGGTCAGACATGGTGACTCATGCTCAGTGCTGGGAGGGTGACAGGGGCTCATCAAAATAGAGGAGAGGAGGACAGGAAGGAGGTGGGTGGCTTCCTCACTCCTGCACCACCTACACCTGGGGACGTTTGACCCCTTGGAGTCACAGGGGTGGGACATGAACTCCTGGAAACCTCTGGGTGGGAGGGAGCCTCCAAAAGCATCCGCTGCCTTTGCTCTATCTGAAGGGACAAAGGATCTGTGCAGAGTGATGTCCAGATGGGACAGAGAACTCACCATGTCAAATAAAAACCTCCAAAACAAAACAAAACAAAGAAAAATCCCCAAACATCCCTCCTCTGCACTGGCTTTCAGTAGGAGAGATGTTCCCTGGGCTCTTCTCCAGCCCAGCTGGGAGCACGGGACGTCGCTGCCCAGTCTGTGCTCACCAGACACTGGGCTCCGGCATCGCTCAGCGTCTTGACGTGGGGAGACGAGCACAGGAGTGAGCCCAGTGCAACCACAGCTGCTCTCCTTTAACCACTGCTGGTGCCTGGTCAGATCTGGATGCCCACAGAGTCCCCAGCCATGTCACAGCCACCATGAGCTGCCACAGCTCAGCCAGGAGCCGGGGACAGGAGCTGGCTGCCTTCTGGTTCTTTGCACGGCTGATGGAGGCCTCCAGCTCAACACCTTGTGAGAAGGACAACAAGCTCCAAGGACAACACGAGGTGTCCCAAGTCCCTGAGCTCAGCCACGGTGTCCCATGGGCTCTTCCATCTCAGGACCGAGGTCTTATGCAAAAAAAGACACAGAAAAGGCACCTCTTTGGGAAAATCACCCAACTAAACCAGCAGCCGAGATCACGATTAGCAGCTTCTTGCCAATAATATTCTCAATTTCCCTCTTTTCCCCCCCACCAGCTCTCACAGTAAATACACATCCCAAGAAGCCAGGGTGATGTGGACAAAGAGCAGGTAGAAGTCCCTACACTAACCACCTTCCATTCCTGTTCTCCTGTAGACCCAGGACACCGAACCCTTGGGGCTGAGTCAGGACTCACTGCGAGGCAGCAGGACGGGAACCCCTCGAGGAGCCACAGCCAACGCCAGAGGCTCCAGCTGCTCCAGCCTTGGACCCGTCAGTGCCGGCTGTCCTGCCCTGTCCTCTGCCTTGGGGAGAAGCACCACTGCTGCTTCATTTCTCACTGTACTGCCATGGAAACCCCCCTCATCTCCTGCCCTGGTTGCTCTCAGACCTCACCATCGGCACTTTGCTGCTGCCCAGGGGCTTGGAAGAAGGGACGTGTGGGGACTGAACTGCAGCCTGGTGGAATGAAGCAGCTCAGGAGAGCAGAGATCAGATGTGGTGATAACAGAACCTTGGAAATGGGAGTTTTGTGCAGGATTTTGAGGCCAGGGAATAGCCAGGATCAGTCCTGGCTCAAGGCAGAGGTGCCAGCGAGGGGTTCCCTCTGCTGCATTTCAACTGTTGGCTTCTCTTTGTCCCTGACTGAACTGACCCAGGGCAATGTTGGGATCACTGAGCTGCTTCATCCCCAGAGCCCAAAACTGGAGCGAGCTGGTTGCAAGCCTGGGATCCCTGGTCACAAGTCTGCAGATGTGAGCAGACATCCAGGGACTCCAGAGAAGCTGGGAGCAGTGAAAAGGCAAGTGGTGCCCCAGGATCAGCCCCGTTCATCCAGCCCACCACGGATGAACAACTTGTCCTTGCAGCAGGATGTGTCTGTGGGCAGCAAGGGGAGGTTAAAATCCCCTCTTGTGCTGAGTTATGTCAGATTTCCTCACGTGGGGGAAGCGCGGGGGCACGTCCACGCAGCACGTGTTTTGAGGAGCTTTTAACAGCTCCGGACAACTTTTCCACTATTGAATCACAAACTGTTCCTGCCAACTAGTCAGCTAAAAAAAAATAGAGCTATAAAAAAAACCCAGACTCATTCGAGGCAGAGGATGTAGGCTCTGTGTCATCATTGCTACAGGCTGGAAACTGCCCGAGAGGGTCACCCTTGTTGACTTCCTCAAGTAACATCTGCAAGGAATAAAAAAACCAACAAAACCAAACCCCGCCTGCAGTCAGCACAAGTGCCCCAAACCACAGCTCTTTGCTGACTCAGCACCTCTTTGCTCACTGCAGCGTCTGGGGACAGACCTGGGGCTCAGGGTGACATGGTTGGGTTGACCCAAGAGATGTGAGCGTGAAGCACCAGCCGCAAGTCCCAGCACGGACAGGCTGCACCCCGCTGGCACTCAGCCTCGCCATGGCTCACGGAGGCTGGTTTCCATGGGCTGGTGTGTCGTGTGGACAGCTGATGTTGTGGGATCATGGGGGGGGGAAGCGTGGGCAAGGGCAAGCAGAGTCAGAAGAAGATGGCCTGGGACTGGCAACACCACCTTTCTCCTCCAAATGAGACTAGGAAAAGACTCCGGTGACAGAAAATCATGTACTAAAATATATTATTTGGTTTCTTTCTTTAGAAAAGATCTGTCTCACACAGTATAAAAACAGGTAGTTTAGAAATAAATTTGAAGCCAGCTGTACCAGTGGCTTCAGGGACATCCTACACCCACCAGCAGCAAACTCCCTTCTCAAAACAAAGCACAACAAACGCACGCAAGAGAATCCTCCGTGAGAACTACTGTTAAATAACTGGGGAAAACAACAAACCAAACCAAACCCCACGGTTTAACACAAAGGCAGACAGTTGTCTAACACAGGGGGAGCAGGGTTCCCCTGAAAGAAATGACCCTGGACACGTATTTCTCTTCTGATAAAATATTGACCCTTGCTGAGTGCTGGGAAATCCGTGTCTGGCACCCAGGGAGCTCCCAGGAGCTGCTGAGATGTTCCTGCTCTCAGGATCCCATCCTGGAGGCAGCGACGTACCCCCAGGCAGAGCAGGACCCTCTGCAGCTACCACAGCCCACTTCAGCTCTGACCCATCCCTCATCCCTACGCTGCGTTTCAAGTTTTAATAAATTAATGATGCCACAGAAGAAAAAAAACAAAACAAAACAACACAAAACCAAACCAAAACCACCCCAAAAAATTCAGTTTGTGTTCTCAGTACGAGAGGAAACGCTCGCGGACCTTCTCCTCGATGGAGTGCAGCTTGGCAGCTCGCAGCGCGTCCAGCAGCTCCTTGGTGACCTCGTAGTGCCCTTCTTTGAGGTGGGTGAGGAAAGCCCTGAACTTCTCCTGGATGGCTGCCCTGGTCCCCAGCGCCTGCTTCCTCGGTGAACGCTCCAGGATTTGCTGCAGGCGCTTCAGCTTTCTGATGGGGATGTTCTGGTACACCACAAAGTCTATCATGGCTTGCTCACAGTCATCATCTCCTACAGCTGGTGGGAGAAAATCACCTGGAAGTTAAAGAGAAGGTGATTGCAGGACACCAGGAGAGCAGGTCACAGCCCAACCAAGCCTCTCTCTGGGACATCTGCCCAGAGAGGTGGCAGAAGGCCCATCCCTGCAAACATTCAAGGTCAAGTTGGATGGGGCTCTGAGCAACCTGATCTGGTTGAAGATGTCCCTGTCACTGCAGGGGGGTTGGAATTAGATTAAATGGACTATAAAGGTCCCTTCCAACCCAAACTATTCCATGATTCTATGATCTTCCTGATGCAGGAGGATATTTCAGCTCATGCAGCCACGTAGAACCATGAACATGAGCTGGGGACCACCTGCCCAGCTCTGTCCAGGCAGAGCACGAGTCCCAGCCTGAGGGAAGCAGCAGAAGTCAGGGAGGAAGAGGAAGGGCAGGCAGCTCGCGCTGCCCGCAGGTGTGTGGTAGGACAACCAGGTCAGAATGAGCATTTTGCAAGTGGAAAAAATGAAGTTGGAAGGAAAAAGGAGCAGAAAAGCACCAAATAGGGCATGGTCAACTGGCCAAGGCCCATCCCTGGTGGCAAACTGTCCTGCAAGGCTGGGTCTGGACCTCACCATGGGCTGGATTCCCACCAGTGGCCCATCCTCTACAGGGAATTAGAAAACAACGTGTGAAAGTTCCTGTAATTTTGAAAAAAGTAAATACACCTTCTCCAGGCTCCTCCCTGCCAGGGAGCAGGGGAAGAGGGAAACTCCAGAAAAACCCAAGGAAGCACCGGAGGGATTTCCACGTTCTTTTCCCTGAAAGTTTCCATTTCCCAGGCAGGTTTTTTACACCCCAGGGCGGGCGCAGCCCAGGTCGGGGCTTTTGGACAGACCCAGTCCCAGCTGGTTCAAGTGCTGCTGGAGCGTGTCCAGCGTGAGGGATTAAATCAGAAAGAATTTTCAAGAGACTGAGGCCAAATGATTACTCAATCCAGGAGAGACTGGCCCAGTTTCGTGCCATTGTAAACTGGGAACGGTTTCACTGGTTATAGTGGGGTGGGTTCTTTGCCCAGACTCTGCCTCTCCTGCGGACTCGGGGTTTACGCCGAATCCTGCGCCGGGAGCTGCAGCAGGGGGGAGGCAGGTGCCCACACGCCTCCTGAGCGAGATGATGATGAGCCAGAGTTAAAAATACC